AAATTGACTTCGGATGAACAGTTCCAAAGGACAATGAGGAAAGTTAAAAAAAAAAAACAAGGGATTGCCTTTAAGGATGTTATTGAAAATTTTTTAGGAAAACAACAAGGATCCAAATTGCGAAAATATTGTCAATAACATACTCGATAAATTCAAACAGTTGGTTTGTAATATAAGCTTGAAAGTTCATTTCTTACACTCACATATTGACTATTTCCCGAAAATCTCCATGCTGTCAGCGAAGAGCAAGGAGAAAGGTTTCACCAAGACATCAGGGAAATGGAGAGGAGATATTAGGGAAGGTGGAATATCAGCATGATGGCTGATTACTGCTGGTCATTGAAACGAAATGCCCCAGACGCAATACATGAAAGAAAGATACAGCACGTAGTTTTTAGACTAAAAGACGTAGATTTCATAAAAAATTCAGGATGAATGGGGATGCATATTCGTTTGACATCAGTGTTCTTCTCTTTTCTTAAGTTTGTTTGTATTTTTGTTAACAAACATAATAATAAAAATCCTTACGTGATAGAAAAATAATTAATATTATTTTCGAAACTTGCGTAGCTGAATTATGGAAAATTCGTTATAAAAACCAAAAAACTTGTATGAAGTTTAAATTCGTAGGCCTGTGTAATTGTTGTTTCACTCTGTAGTAAATGTTTTTAAAAGAACACCAGATGTTTATAAGATAGCTAACTTCAAGGGGTAATGATAACATAATTTGCACTAGAATTATGATGTTTTTAGCTTATGTAAAATATAGATAAAACAAATCGACTTTACAATACCCCAAAGACCTTCGCATCTCCTTATTTAGTATTCTACAAAAGGTTTTGGTGCAATATACAAAGCTGTTTTTGTTGTAGGCTGGCGAGAGAATAATCATATACTTACTGTCTGAGCGTTTATCTGTCTCCGTTTGAAAAGCTGCGCGAGCAGACAAAGCTAAACATTCACTTTTGAAATGACGGGAGAACAGGCATGAATAATGTTAATGCCAAATTTTATTTAGCAAGAAGGATATTCTACACTAAATTGTTAGGAATTAATCACACTATCATTCACATTTCAAAAATGTGACGTAACTTAAAGAATAAAAATGTAGATTTACCGTATGTTATTAGTGAGCAGCTTTTAGCATGACTGAAATGATCAACAATTATTCTTTGCGGTGAGCTGTATAAGTAGCTCGAAACCAAGAGTGCAACACAATTAATCTTTTTAAAGTCCATGAAATAACTTAAATTGATAGATTAACTTAAACTTTTCCCGTCTCTGAGGACGAGTACTTTGCTTGTAATAATAATTACAAACGGGCAGTTTGAGCTGATTTTATTTTCCTTGTAAGTCTAATATACATGCTTTTTTGTGCATTTTTATATTTGTATAGCTTTAGCCGGTTTTAAAGTGTTTGAACTGAATTTTTACTGTAAAGGTGCTTTTTGCTGTTGTTTTGTGCAATTCCTTGCTATCCCTTTTATGAACCACTGTTTTTGGCAACAGGGCAAAGTAAGGCTGGTTGGAGAAAAGCAGTGCAAAACAACAACAACAAAAAAAATCCAGTGGCTCAGAAATAAGGAGCAGCTTTTGAAAACACCGAGTGTCTATTTTTTAAATTCTCAAAATTTTCATTTCACAAAAAGTGGTGCAAATTGTATCCCTGACCATGAAAAATTGCTAGTGTAAGTTATTAATAAAGAATAATATATCTTGTCCAGCTACGTAAAGTTGACCATCTCTTTAGTGACAACCACATTAAATTAAAGGTCTCATATGTTCATAAACAGTTGAAAAGGTTTTGGCTCTAAGTTTACTTATGATACATAATATTTTATGTTAAGAACTTGCCAACAATCTTTATTGATGTTATGGAAGGGTACAACAAATCGTACTGCAAATGTTTCTCAACATTTTTCTATCTTATTTCGATTTTTTTCATCATTGTTTGTGTGTAATTAAGTACAAAGCTACACAATGGGCTATATGTGATCTGCCCACCACGGGTATCAAAACCCGGATTCTAGCGTTGTAAGTCCGCAGACATTCCGCTGTGCCACTGGGGGGCTTTTTTCATCATAACCTAAAATATTGGTTTGGTCTCTTTTTATAAGCACATTCTTTGCGTATGTTAGGGTGTTTTTTCAAAGAGAGCTTCGCGAACTTGGGGTCGAGATTTACAATTAACTGTTATAAGAATGTGGATCGAAATTTCTGGTTGATTAAGCACAATAATCAGTTATTCTTTCACGAATTATTATACTTAATTCCTTTCAT